TCCAGCTGGAGAATAAAGCGCATCGGGAAGAAGTTTCAGTCTGATGTATCAAAAGGCAATACCTTCCTCTTTTCTTTTTTGACAAATAGGGATGTGAACCCAAGAGACAGAAGATTAGCTCTGCTGATAGCAGTGTTTCTCATTAGGAGTGTCTAAAGCTGAATTAAACCACAGTCCAACAAAGACTCGAGCCGTAAAGAGAAACATCTGCTAGAACTGAAGACCTGTTCCCCACAACCGTTAGTGTGTCTGCAATATCCTCTTCCCTCTGATCTCTGCTTTACTACTGTGCAGCTGCTCATGTCCCTCCAGAATAAGTTTCTGCTCATGTAAAGGCTGGCAATTTCTTTGGCTATTTAAAATAGTGGGACTGAACTCGCGAGAGCCCATTTCCACRTCCTCTACCAGTGCCCTGGCAAACCCCTGCCCTGGTGCAAAGTGCTATTGATTTTGGTTTGATTTAGCAGAGACTTAAGGGGCTGCCAGAACAGATCCGACAACAGCATCAGGGCTGTAATGGCTTCATAATTAAGTAAATCCCAGCTGCGTGCCAGTTTTGGCTAAATCTGCTTATCCCCTTACTGAGTCTCTATTATCAACTGGAGTGTGTCTGGGGCTCACAACAGCACAGTCCTTAGGTCAAATGCTTTCAAATAGGATTTTTCGTAGCGTTTTTCTTGTAGCATACAAATGCAGCTTTTCATTAACTCAACAACTATACTGGTGGTGAGGGCAGTGATTTCCCTTTCCCTGACACCAAGTCTACATTGCTGAAATTCCAGCAGTGTAACTCAAGCTCTCCCCGATTTACCAATAATAAAAACAAATCTTGCCAGACAACCTCTAGATGGCTCTTGAGTCTTGCTTTGCCAATTAGCAAGCACCTGAAGTAAGTCCAAATCACCCTCTATCAAGGAATTTTTTCTATGACTGTTATTTCTTCATGTGAGAGATGAAATATATTGGAGTATTTTGCATGCATTGGGAAGACAGCCTTTGGTTTTTAAAAAGCACTGAGAATCTTTCAGCTGCAGAGAATAAAATGCTTCCTTATCTTATTTCTATCCAGGAAGTCTTGTTGGCAAATTCCACCTGTGTGTATTTTGCTACAGCTGCTATGTTTATTTAGTAATTCAAGATTTAGAAATTACCCTTCTTGACTGTAGCTTAAAAGGAAGAAAACACTACTGTCTATTTCCCTAAGAAGGAAGAGCTACCTGCAAGCCTCTCTTATGCTGTGAAATCCCAGGACTGGGAACATTCGGATTTTTTGCTCACAAAAGCCCAGCCCTTTTTAATTTCCAAAGGGCATCTGGGGCTTATTCCTGATTCACAAAGATGGGAGAAGCAGAAGGAGAAAGGAGGGGAAAAAAATATATTCATAGAACTAAGGTGAGTCGCATCCTATCAAACCATCTTTTATCCTAAATAAATCCGACAAATTATTTGTTGCTCAAACTATTATAGAGCAGATCGTATCAGGGATATTTCTAATAATCCAAAAGGACACAAATGAAACCAGGAATTAATGGAGCAAAATCTGTCAGGAACTTTAATCTCTGATAGACCGAAAAGCATCTGTACAGAAAAGTGCAATGCATCTCTGTGTTCCCAATAAAGAACTCAATGGCCTTCTGTAGTATTTACCCCAGCTCAGTGTCTAGATTCTCTGACAACTAAACCAAGCATTATGTGAGCTGGATATTTACTTCGCTACTGATGGGGAAGGATTTGCTTGAAAAATATTGGTTTTTTTGGATGAAATTTTCGTTATTGCTATTTTGTGGCAGATGAAATAATTTTTTCCTTGCTTAGCCAGATAAGTGGCCAAAATATGCAAAAGTAAAGAAAAGATGCTTACACAAGACTAACATTTAATTGGAAAACCTAGTAGTGCTTACAAACTTAAAAAAAAAAAAAAAAAGTTGCCTGCAGCAAAAACGTATGCATATATCTACTTCTTCCCTTGGACAGTAAGAAATTATAGACTCTACAATAGAACAGTGAGACCTCCACAATTAAAAATCAGCCAGCCAATTTAACATTAATGAAGTAACATGCAGCAAAAAAAGAACTCAATGCGTTCTTTGTTCAAAAGGTTAATGTCTTTGTGGATTGTACATTAAGAAAAGTTGTAAAATATTTATGCAATTAAGTACAATATAGAACTGGCCGTCGTGAACAGTTACAGTAACTTCACATACTTTTTTCAAAAAAAAAGCCATCTTTGTATTTCAAATGTTTCACATCAGTCATTTTAGTGAGGCAGAGTTTTGGGTGTCATCTCTCCAGTGTCGTAGGGATGTGTCTGCCTCCACATGGGGAGGATTTACTTTGTGCTTTCAATATGTTCACACACTGTCCTTGGCAGAGATGCCAAGCGCAGGACTCTTCGCTTTGGAGAAGTTTGGATGAGAGAGCCTACTCCTGAAAAGGATGCTGAATTTGACAGTGTGTCTATGCTTGGGCTTTAGTTCTCAGCTACCAACCTTCTTTTTTTATTGTTTACTACTGAACRTGCTGTTTTACAAGAGAATTAAGATCTGAATGCATCTTTTAAGATGAAACTGTTTTAGATTTTCTCCATGGAAGGGATATTCCCCAGACCAGTCTGGGACCAGCCAGCAATATTTAAAACTGAAATTCGCATTTACAACAATATGAAGTCTTCCTTTAAATAAATGATGGTACGCCCTGGGCCCAAGGATTTAATATAAAAAAAACAGATGAAGTGTCTGTTTTGACTTTATATAAAAATCACTGTSCCCTGCTAAGGCCTTAGCAAGTATTTCATTCTTAAGACAACATATAGATTTRCTCGGCAGACACTAACCAGGAGCAGAATTTCCTTTTTTTCAGACACTGAAAGAACTGTATGCATGAGACCAATTTAGAAAAATCCATTCCAATGTCACTTTTCTTTATATGCTATATAAATAGGTATGAAAAAAATAATCATGTAACCACAAAGTAATAACACGACCTGCAGATTACAAGGTAATTAAACTTGAAGCAACCAAGTACAGTGTTCCAGGAATAATTTACCTCGTGGTGCRGGAAGCTGAGATTTTCTGATGCTTCTCACTAATACAAAATGAATAAGCAATGGGAGCTCCAACCTGCCAGAGCTAGGGAATTAACGTGTTTCCTATCTGTATCTTTCACGTCTTAACACCTATGATGACAATCTAATTTGAAAAGCAGCAATAACCGTGTGGTAACTGTCTTTAAAAGGCACTTACCATGTAATTTTATGGTCAGTGTTCGAAAAGATAGTGTAGCTGCCTGAGAGCATTGGTTTGAAATACCCTGCTTTTATTAGCTGATGTTCACCTTGATAGAGAACAGAGCACATTTTGCTGCAGTACAGCTGGTTTGTGGCTTGACCCTGGTTCAAAGGATGCGTGAAGAGCTCTCTGATAAAGTTTTTAGGCAAGTTTTAGGTTGTGCTGTTAATTTTTAGGTAAGTAATCAGATCTCTTCCTCTCCTTGACACACACGTTTTGCCTTCGGAAAAAAAAGATGCCAGCAAAAAGCCTTTTGGATCGTGAAGGTGTGTTTGAAATCTTCCCGTTGTTAGAAACAATACCAGGGCTAAAATACAGCCTGAGATACCCTTTCATTCCACGTTTGGGTGAGACAGCCCTGATTCTTTGGGAGAGCTCCAATAACATAGGTACATGGCCTCATTTTGTAAAATAGGTGTTTTTTTTTTTCCTTCTTCTGACTTGTATCTATTCAGAGTCAGAATTCAGAGGTGAGTCCAGCTAAATGAAGACAAAGGTGATTACACTGATTTCCTATGATGTACGGTTAGGTTAAATAAATTTCATTGATTAACTGACAATTTAAATAAACATCAGTGTATGCAGAAGGTGTATAAATAGGAAGGGCTTTATTAAATTTCAAAATGGAGGGTCTTTTTTTCAGTTGTGAATTGCTGATGCAGTTTGTTTGCTCAGGCTGCAGTACCTGGTGTTGAAGTCATGGCTTTGTACCCCAGGAAATGCGGGTACAAGGTGTTGTCTTTTTCACCTTGATTCAAGAGAAGCTGCTAGACATATTTTTAACTCTCACCAAACTCAGTGAGAATTGAATGAGTTTTAAGTGCTGTGCTGGCTGCAGGTGTTTTCTGGATCTGGGGCACTGGGTATTTTTATCTTTTTTTGTTGTTTATCTCTTTATCAATGTGTCCCTGAAAACAGATGAGTGTTCAGTCCAGCACATCTCTCTATGCAATTCTAGGAACACATTTAAAGTAGCTCTCATGAACTTCTCCCCAGAGATGCATTGGGACCTGTGTACATTCTTCTTACTAACCTTCCACAGATGGATGAATTCTGCTCTTCTAGCCCTGCCCTAATTTTGAACTATCTACTAGCTGAGCTGATGGAAGCGAGTGCCTTTCTGTAAGCCTTACTGCTGTAAATGTCAGCACTATGGTCTGTAGCCACTGGACAATTCTTACGTTAAAACTCAAAATTATTTTGACAGGGAATTATCTTAAGGTCTTAATCCCCAAACCTGAATAAGATTATTTCTGTCAATTAAATGAGGTAGCTGCATTTGGAACATAATATTATGCTCTATTTTAACATTAACTCTTMCACTGTTGTCAGCTCAAGTGCAATGGTAGTGGACACAAGCATGCGAGAGTAGCTCTTTGCATAGCAGATAATATGGAGGACACAGCAGGATAGAGTTCAGCCTAATATGTATGTGTATGAAATACATAAACACTGAAGACCTGAAGATATTCTCAAAGTGTATTGCTGCACAGATGGGTCTCTGATAGTATCCTTCAACCTAGAGCAAAGTGAAGACTGCTACAAGGAATAAAAATTATTTCAAGAGGTTCTGTGCTCTTCCTCTGTGCCCATAGATATAAATTTGACACTTACTTGGATAAATTATGTATTTTTATAGTGTTGTTTGAAGTATAGAACATTATGCTTTGCAGCACTGCTAGAAGAAAACAGAAGCTGGCCAGCTGGCMCTTGTGAATGTGCTAAAGACCCCCATCTGTGGCAATTCAGAGCTGTGGGAGAAAGGTGAGCCCAGCATTGCATCCCGGTTCCTCTGATGACTTCTGTTTGAGGCCAGATAATGGAGGGGAAAATATACTGCTTTTCCTGAAGTGGAAAACCCTCTAGTTTGCTTCTATTTTGCAGTTTTTGCTCAGAGATGAACACTGACGCAAGCATCGTYATTAGGATCAAGCAGATGAGCCTGGAAAACTGTTACCTGAACTGAGATCAGATTCCGTAGCGGAGTAAGTAAAAGTGAATTTGGTTAACTGGGCAGTGAAAAGCAATGCAATGGCAAGGGAAGAAATAGTTATTTTCTTTCTTCCCCAGTAATAAGTGGTACCAACCTAGTGTCGGGTACATAGCAGCAAGCTTTGGCATGGGCAACAGCAGATTACAATGGGCCACAGCAGGAAACAAAGGTAAGAGGGAGGATCTTTCAGGCAGGGAGAAATTTAGCATTTCTATTTGTTGCAGGTCTGCTGAATTTTCCAATTCTATTTCCTATCCTCAAACACAGCTGCCAGGCACTGGCAGCCTGCCATCGGGCTGGCTCTTCTCTCACCAAGGTCACCAGAAAATGTTTCTCTAACCCAAGCAAGGTCAGCTGCTGTCTTCTAAATGTGGCCTTTTGGCCACCACTGGCTTTGCAGAGAGCTCCCTGCAGAGCAAGTCGCATGCCAGAGCCAACGGGCCTCGCAGAGGCATTGCTGCCATCGGCGCCTCCCTTCCCCCTCTTTTATTTTTGGAAAGATGACGATGAATGCACACAAAGCTCCAATTACAAAAGATTATGGGCCTCAATTTAGTGTGTGCTGTAAAGTTGTATTAAACGATCAAATGCTAATGAGGAGAGTGGCTCTTCTAGAGAAATAAGGAATTAGCATAAATTAATAGAGTTCCATATGTGCAAGTTTTACAGGGTAGCAAAGTATCTCATCTCAAAAGTATAAATATTTAATTTAATTCTTTCTGGGGCCAATATACAGCTTTACAGTGAGCACGGAAATATGAATTAAAGCACGTGAGGGAGCAAAGCACCACTTTAGTTCAGGTTCACAGAGCGGTCGCTGCAATGGCTCTGCCATTCATTTTCTCTGTTTTCCAGCTCACACAGCTGGAAACCAGGCCCAAATGGGACGTTCATGTACATGGCCTCATCTCCAGGCTGGGGACTCTTCCCATTGGCTTCATCCAGCGCAGCATCGAACCCCTGAGCTTTGCCTGGGACTACATTTGCTTGGTAGATCTTCCCTCTCTTTTGGCAAAGAGAAAAAGCTGCAGAAGCATTTTGGTGGTGTTTTTATAGTGCTTGCCTTACCCACGTGAAAAATGATCTACTGCAGGTGCAAATTGACTTGAACTTGTAACTCATATTCATTCTTACASTGTATTTCCTATTAATGATGTGAATGAGTGGCTATAATTAAGATTAATTTTTACTAGAGTATAAAACAGGCTGAGTCGTCTGTGTGGCCTTCCTGAATAGCTATGGCTCCAGTTCTTGTGATACACTCCAAATAAGTGCTCTTCACACAGAAATTAGTTGTTGTACCTCTGTAATGAACATATGGGACTCATGAGTGAGCTTTTTCTCTTGCTGCCCATTTTGTAGGACTGAGGATGAGAGGGTACGAATGCATGCATGTTTGATTATCATGTCATTCATTTTGAAAAAAATGTGCAGCAAATTGTTTAACTAAATCCATGACCACAGTGGAATGTGGCATCTTCTGAGTCAATACATATATTTATTTTGTTAATAAGCTTTCTAGCAGTTCCTGTATGCCAGGCTTCAGGAAATAGAGTTTTTCACTCACAATTCCATTTTCAATTCAGCTTCTTCATTAGTGTCATAAACAGCTGCTTGAAAGTAAGGGAAAATCTTCTAATAACACAAGGAGAGAGCATACTGGCTAAAAAGTCCATCAGAAAGGAGTTGAAACCTCAGCATGTCTCTCTTGGCTAGACAAATCCTCTAAAGACTGCAGCTGTAGATCTTCTCAGTGCTCCCTGCTCTAGCTCACTCTTTCAAAATGGAATGGGGAAAAAGCCCCAGGTGGTACCACATGTTCTCTTACAATTTTCTTGCCTAAAACTCTCAGGTTTTTACTTGAAATAACATTGATAGCCAATGGTTACTATTCTTGAAAGGCTTAGGCACTATTTTACTCTAAGACTTGTATCAGGCAAAGGAAGATGAAGACAGGTCCAGTGGGGAAGAAGGAAGGTTATTTGCAGAGCACAGAGCTGCTGTTGTATACCTGGCAGTTATAGATCTAAAAACCATGCTCAAACCTGTCGCCTCTGGTGGATATTTCATAAAGAATAGTCAGTTTTGCACAATCTTAAAGAGCATACCTGATCGCTCTGGTAGTAGTATGCAGAGCTCAGCTTCTGTCTGAAGATACCATAATTGATTTGAGTTGCTCTCCTTGGCTTCGGAAGAGGAACACGTTTTAATTCAATAGAAGCAAACCCGGATCTGATATTAATGCCAGTTTGATGACATGCACCCAATGAGTACCTAAAAGTCCTGTGTTTTGGCTCCTCTGAAGAGCATTGTTTCCAAGAGCATCAGTGATAGCACGTTGATCTTGCCATGGCCTGCTCCTCTGTGAGTACACACAGCTTCAGAGAACACATCTGCCTTTTGCAGCCCATGCTGCTGACAGGCTCGGCATGCTTTGCATCCTGCTTTGCATCAAATGAGACTATTTCAGACTAGTCACTTCCGAGAATTGTTAAGTCAGGAGATCTGTCTTGACCAGAGAGCCTCTGTGGGCACAGAAAATGTCAGTCCTGTACAGAGCCTGCTCCTGATGCTTGGTGACTTTCTGCCAGGTTACATGTTTGACAGATGTTCTGCAGTGTGTGTTCCCAGCCACGGGTCTGACAACCAGCATTAAGCCAATTACAGTCACAGGCAATTAATGTTCCCCTCCTCAGCTTCTCRTGGAAATGATAGCAGAATGCAGCAGATCAGCATGAAATCAGTSACCTTTGGAAAAAGAAGCTTGAGACAGGAGCTGGGCTGGTGTCTACATCAGCTACGTCCCATTGAGCTCTTAAGGGTTGGGAAGGGAAATGGAAAATAGCATGTTTTATAAAACTGGCATTAGCATTATTTTCTTCTAATTTCTCAGCACAATAGCTTGTAGTGACCTGAAAATACCGATCCTGCCTCTTTTCCTCCCTGCATCATGGTTATTATCTGCTAGCAATAGATGTAATCTCATACAGATTTTCTGTATTGTATTGCACCCAGGCCTGAATTCATCGTCTCCCTTCTAATCTGAGCCATGCACAAACAGGCCTGTAGGGCCAGCTCCTTCAGGAACGTAAACCAAATTATATCCACTGAAATGAGAAGAGAGATTTTTGTCTGCATCCTTTGAGCACCTTCCTCAGCAGTTTCCTCAGTCTAAAAAGAGAAGAGAGGGTCCTTTTGAGGGTGACTTGGTCAATTAACACGTATACAACCCTCTCCGGATGCTTTTGCTAGTGGATKCTGTGGAGAGGGATTGCTGAGAAGCAGTGAGAAATTTCAGGTCAGTTACTGGGTGACAAAGTTTTGATTTTCCTTTTTGCTTGGTTGCACTGCTGCATTCCACACTGTTGTTCTAGCAGGAGCTGCAGTACAGATGCTTCTTTCCACAGTGGCCACAAGACCTCACAGTTTTGCTGCTTTGCCATTGCAGAAGTACATGAATGGCCCATTTTGGGGAACTACAGCCTGTCTGGGAGAGGGAGTAGTACCTATGTCCAGAGGTACTTGTCACAACATAACAAAAAGCCTGTTCAGAMACCAAAGAGCAGCTTGAGCAAATGTTTTGGAAATTAGGAAACTCATAGTAGAGATATTGTGTGAGAGCTACATCTAGAGTCCAGATGTTTCAACTGTTTTACTTCTGATCTGTTTTTAGAAAAGCAGGGTGTTTCCATGAAATATATTTTATTTTATAGGCCAGAGCACTTTCAAGATAACTCATCTAAATCATGTTGTCTGGCTAAAGCTGTCTGGAGCCTGAGCTGTCTAGTTGTTCTGGATTTGTTTGTCTGTTTTTTTTACACTGTATCTCACAATAAAATAACCAAACTTGGGAAATGGAATTCTCAATGTTTTTTTTAAAATCTCATAAGTTCAATGCAGTCTCATAATTCTTCAGAATCATTTTTGTATTACAGTTTTGTTTTAGTATTTTTTCATTGAAAGTTTTGGTCTATCTGTTCCTAAATTAACCTCCGGATTATCAGGATGTTGAGTCTCAGGCTAAAATCTGCAAATTAGATAATCCCGAATAGTTATTCTTTATGTTACTGTCTTCTCAGTGATAGTTTCAGAAAGGACAGGTTGGTATATTGTAAAGGAAGAACTGAGCTCTGAAAGTATCCATCATTCATTGGAAAGAACAGCTTTTTCCACACTAAAATTTAAAAATGCTTGTTTTACTCTTCCATGTTCAGCACAGAAACTGAAAATAAAGGTTCACCTTGGGAAACAAGATTGAAAACAGCAGACACTGGCTGGTGGAAAGCTGCTTGGCCACTTCCAGAGCTGCCCAAGCACTGAAATAAGTTTCCTCTTCATATTATAAGAAAGGGCTGTGCAAATGTCCATGCAATACAGAGACAAATTACATCGCTACATACTAATTATGTAAAGGCATTTCACAAATGGCTTTATCCATGCCTTTATCCATGCAGAAGGAACACTTCCAATATGTTTTGCACAGAGGTGAGGAGAAAACCCAGCATGACACTCTTCTACAAATTCCCGGTGGGGTAAAACATTTACCTTTAAGAGCAAGCATATCCAGATTTGGTAAGAAAAGTTTGTGTTGAGATATTTCAAGGACGGGAGGCGAATGTGGAGGAAGGGGTGGCAAAGGAAGGGAAAGRGGAAGTTTATTTCTGTGTGTATAATGTGTTGGTCAGTGAGGCTGCCGAGACTGGAGGAGGGGTATTCCGGCTGGAAGGATCCTGAYGGCTGCTTGGTGTCCTTGGGCCACAGATGTTTGGCCCTAGTGTTGATRTCCAATATGCCCAGCTATCGAGGCAGATGGCGAGCAGCAAAATATTTCTGAACTTGTGGAAATAGACCACCCTGGAGCCCAGCAAGGGGGATAGCTGAAATTGGAAAGTAATGTAATAGAATATTTTATATTCCACAAAAGGSGTTAAGGCTGGGAAGACTGCCATTTCTGGAAGGGCAGTTTGGCTGGCTTCCTTGTATTATGCTCGGTTTTATAATGACCCTCCATTTGTACCCCTTTCCTCTTTTAGCCTGACACAGAGATTTGCGTTTCATTTCACACATTCACACACAAGATCACGTGCACAAGACCACAGCAAGTCATAATGAAGGTAAATACTTTTGGATTCAAGAGAAAGAAGGCAGACTTTAGCTCAGTCTTTCTACAGCAGCTTATAGATATGGYTATTCTCATTGTGTGCGACTTACTGAAAACGTCTCACCTCTTTGAAGATGTGTCTATACAGCCATGTGTCTATCAGTCTTCTCTACAGCAGGAGAAGAGGARAGAAACAGAGTTTAGTATCAGGAAGGGCCTTGATTCAGCAAAAGACTTAACCCCTTAAATCTTTTGTCGACCAGGTGGAAATCAACAGATGGTTCACTTGCTGATATTTCTCTTGCTATCTGTAGGATACTAGTAGACTGAGTGGTTTTCAGGGGAAAACAAAATTTGCATTTTAGTGTATTTATTTACTTTGTAAGTGAAGGCTTTGTGGAAGGATTAAGCTTTTCTTTGTTTTTGTTTTTTTTTTTTCCTCACTTTTTTCCTCTGAAGGATGTAATTGCAGTGCTACTGGGAGAAATTGAATTGCTTGGGGGCTTTTCCATAGCAACAGCTTTTCAATTTTCAGTGTTAAAAACTCACTTCGGGACAAATTCTTTCCTGAAAGAGGAGACCAGGTCTTATCTTTTGAGCAGATAATGTTGAACAAATAGCTGTTTGGATGATTTCTACTTGTYTCAGACTCATGAAATTCTCTGCTTGGGCAGGGTGGAAAGGGAGCTCCAAGCAAAACAGTTACGATAAACAGACTCAATGGGCTTGGTGGGCTTGGCAGGGGTCTATGCTGAGCTTTGTCCAGGGATACTGCTAACAAGAGAGTGTAAGGATAAATAGCCCTAGCAAAATGACTAACTTCAGGGCAAAATGTACTTWTCAGTTCTGCTTCCAAGACAAATCATGAATTAAAGCAATCTAGATGATTTCTTGGGTTTATAGTATCTGAATTCACTTTTCATTCACTTTTGATATGGAGTTTGGAGTGAATTGAACAGGACAATATAATTAATCATGACAATGCAAAATTTCTGCTGTACAATGAATGGTAATACAATGTTGTTTGCAACAGAAAGATTTAAAACRAGGAAACAGGAAAATATATAATTTTACTGGAGTAGTTCAAGATGTGCAAAGACTATAAAACACTCTCCTCTGAACAGATGTTTAAATATTTTCTCTCCAGAATGTTAATTTGTTTATATTCTCTGCAGAATATGCTGATGTCTCTGAGGCTGAGCTCCATTGCTTGAGGGTGTAACATGGGCCACACAACAGTTCTCTGACTGGTGGTTTCTGAAGCAATAGGCTATAACAGAGAGAAGCAGCATTTATGGGCTTAAGGGCTGAATGAAATGAAAATCTTTGCAGTAACTGGACATAGGTGTTAAGCATATTTTTCCTATCAGTATTGCCAGCATGGCTGTAGTAACATGTTATGTATATTACTGAATTTCTGCTTCCAAGAATTCACTGCAGTATGGAAATAGCATCATTCCTTTTCTAAAAAATGACAAACTAAGTGTGGCCTATCTATTTCATGCCATGAAGAATTATTCTTGAAATACCCCGGTCGGTTTAGTAGAATTACCACGATTGCCTGCAGGGACGATGCTATGGATCTGTAGGTTCTTGGAGACTATATGGCCGCATTAGGACCGTGCTGGGCCCTGATAATTAGTTTTATTTCTCAGGAGGGCTATTTGGCAAAGGTTTTGGGGATTAGGCTGGGAATCCCTTTCAGTAGGTTATAGAGCTGCCCAGAAGGAATGAAGTCGGTGTCACACATTGTGTCCCACTGAGAGTTTGAATCTGTTCTTATAAAAAATACCACTTTGAAATACTTCGGATAGGGAGTTGCTGATGAGATGCTGAAGCTAGTGAGTGCTTCCTGAGGGCAAGTGCTTAGGATTTCTTTAGCTGGGGCTTCAGTGATTTTTCTCAAGTTTTACCTCTTAAAAAAATTATATGCATATATATATACATATATAGACTAAGTATAATAATGTGCATACTAAACATGTTAGTATACATGTGAACTGTGTTTATCCAGATCAGTGCTTTCTTTTTATGTTCTGAGCATGCAAATGTTGTCTGGGGCTCCCTGGGATGCACATGACTTCCCTGCCATTTGTATCTATGAAGGTATCTCTGGCATGAAAGGTGTTGTTTAAATAAAAGATATCGTTTATAGAGCTCCCACTTTATGTACAAGGTGCTAGCAGACCAAATCGATTTCCACTTTAACTGCAATGACTATTAGCTATTCATGCTACTTACTCRTGCTACTTATTGTAATGGACATAACACTTTGCACTAAAGAATGTTCTCTATGTCTAGGATGGAGGGATTTACATGTGTATGGAAAATTCCAATAACAGTTAATATGCAATTGTAGAAATCCCTGTGCACAGGAGTTATACTCTGAGCTTGCACCATCTGTTCTGTCCTCTAATGATGAATCCAATATTCACAATATTCATAATAAAATTCTTTAAAATAGAAGTCATTTAGATATGAGCCTACTTTCCTTTTTTTTTTTTTTTTTTAAGGAAAATTTCTCCTGCCTTGTTTACTCAGGAAAAAAATTCCTGTATGACAGTGAAAGCTGTTATTTTCCCTTGGTGCTTGGATCCCAGAAGGTGTGAGAACTGATGCCCAGGCCTGGCCACATTTCCAAATTTAAGCCTTTCATTCTTCAAAAGTAGAATATGAATCCTCACAGCACTGTGTGTTTAAGAGTGTTATGAGCAGGGCTGCAGTAATGATGTGTGGTTTTTTTTCTGATCCCGTCAGCCTCATTTTCTCATGAAATTATAAAAACTTCTCGGTTGTTTGTTATTCTGATGGTAATATAAATTTAATGGCAAATATGAGATGGGAAGAAAGAGAAGATTTGTTCAGCCTGTGAAACCTCAAAGCCTAATATTGCCACCTGACGCTGTACAAGAAGCAAGGAACTAAGCGGCATCATTAAAGTGCTTGCAAGTCTAACATATAGTGACAGAACTGCTGAAAAATGTATGCGTGTGACAGGGAACTCATTTCATTTTTGCCTCTCGCCCTGGTTTTCATCAAGGATGGCAAAATTGTCAGGAAGGAACAATAGTGAAAAATAGAGCTGAAGCAGACACACATGTTTGTACAGCTTTCCAAGAGCTATGGCCTTCTTTACTTCTCCGCAGTGAGCCCRCGCTGTGCTGATGTGTGATTGCTCAGAGTCAGAAGTATATTTTTAATGTGCTC